AAATAGTATTCATGTATTCATTCTCAATAAGGAATGTATAAATCCAGACCAAAGTGTTGTACGATTAACATAGAAAAGAAAAAACATAAAACAAGAACCCAAGGGATCAACTAAAACACACACAATCTGTCTTTTTTTAAGGGGGCAAATGTGAACTGGGCATGTTTTTGTACGATTAACCATGGTCAAGTGTTACCGATTTTAACAGTGTTAACTTAAGCTAACATTTTAGCTTCGTTCTACTACTTTCACATTAGTCGAAGCCTGTGGAGAGTATTTGTGTGTAGGAGAGAAAGACTGAGACAGAGCCAGTGAGTAATGAGATTTTTTAGGTCTCTTGAGATGTTCACATGGCGATGGCACCACTCGATTGACAGCTTGAGTTAAATCTCCTTTTTTCCACCCCTTACAAGTTTTATTTTTACCTCCCCTCTGTCTGAGAGCAGAAATAAGAAAATCAGCTCTCCGAATGGAAGGAACACTGTAGAACGCTTCGGGTGGATGTGAGGTGCTCCACATCCAAGAAACTCTAAAATGTTCTCTTTCGCACACGCACGCACGCACGCACACACACACACACACACACACACACACACACACACCCTCGCGTTCTAGAGGGTCTGTGATCTTTCATCTTTTTTGTCAGACTGTGGTTTGCAGTTCAGAGAGAGCACAATAAAAGCGGTAGAGTGATTTATCAGAGTGAATCAGCACCTGTAAGGTAGAGACAAGAGACAGAGATGTAGAATAATTGCCTTGAAGCACTCGTCTCAATCTTTCGTCCTCTTGTGGCTCCATATGGCTGCCCTGCGTTAGCTGCTGTTGCCTGAGGAACATCTTTGATATTAATACATGTAATGGTGTTGCTGAATGTTCTTACTGAATGTTCTTACATTCACAAAGTCTGTTTTCTGTAACGTGCGCGTATGTGTTTGCGTCAAAAAAGGAGAAAATTCTGTTATGAATCTGCAAGGTGATGATTTAAATTTTGGTCTGTTCCTCACACAAAGCAGTCAAAGTCTTTAGAAGACTTTGAATATAGCAAGTAGTTTGTGTGGACTTACATTTTTGTTATGGTATATCTTGAGTGAATCTCATGCCCAGGTCAGATTTTATCCCAAACTAAGAAAGAATGAAGAAATTATGTTTTGCTTAAATAAAAGGAAAGCTGTTTTGAATCATGAAAAAAAAAAAGCTAATTAAGCACAATTCCTTACCATAGTTCTTATTGCCATAATGAAAAAAATGCATTATTGTAATAAAAAAGATATCTAAATTAAGTATTTTTGTTGTTGTACTGTCTTCAATTTATGCAAATTGCATTACAGTAAATTAGAGGTCGACCGATAGTGGATTTTGCCGATACCGATAGCTAGGTTGGACCACACTGGCCGATACCGATTAATTAACCGATTGTTTTAAAATTGATACTGAACAAAAACTAAAATAGTGCTTTATTAACAAAAACAGTACTGAACCATACTAGTAGTAGTAGTAAAAAAAAAACGGAAAGAGAAAGCGCGACCTATATTATAGCTCTATAACTGAAGCACACAGACTTTATTAGAGTCACAGCAAGACAAACGTTTTGCTGGAAATAAATACACAATTCATTATGTACATTAACAACGATTCGGGACCAATATAATGTAATTTAAAGGAAAACTATGTGAATGACGCTCTGTGGCTTGGCAGGATTTTCTGTCGGCTGCATTTAAATCCGCGTCTGAAGTTTCCCGCTCTGTTCAATGTGCAGTAAGTATCACGTGTCTAAACAAATAGCACGTGCTGTCAGTGAAGCCGCTCTCGGTCGACCTCTACAGTAAATTACTGTATTATAATAATTGGGATCTGATTAGAATCACAATGGAGAATAAAATGTATATATTTAACTTGTAAAATATCTGTCCTTATGCAGATTTCAATAAAACAATAGCATTGTGTTAGTTCTAATTTAGTAATTAGAATCTAATGAGAATCACTACTGACAATAAAGGGAATTACAAAATAAAAATAGGCAAAAAAAGAAAGAAAAGAAAGAAAGAAAAGAAAGAGTCCTTTTGAATGAATGGAGTAAAAAGTACCTTTTGGACCTTTTTATATTAGAGATTTTTGTATGTGACATTTTGCTCAGCCTTTGTGGGGGGAAAAAAAACGTTTTCGAGGAACGTAATGGTAAGTAGATCATGAGGAAATGTTACATTTTGGTTGAATAACCCATTCAAGAACTAACACATCACTTGCTATGCACACACACCCTTCTCATTATATTCTGACCCCCAGGTCTTTAGTTAAACGGGCTTCACAGGTCAGCCTCATGATGTTTAGATTTGTTTGTTTTCGTCGGGGAGAGAGACAGAAAGCGCGAGAGATTAGCAGAAATGCGGCAGGTCTAGGGTACAGTGAGTGCTGTGGGGTGGGAGATCTCGCTCGCTCTCTCAGACAGATGATGAAATAGTTTTATAAAGCAGGAAATCGCTTTCCTGGGAAATAAAATCAGCAGCACAGCACAGAACTCTCATTTCACCAAGAACTCCCGTCGCTCCAGCGGTTGTGTGTGTGTTTGTGTGCCATTATCGGTTTATGCAGTACCACTGCACATGATCATTGCTGTCAGACTCTGTTCCATGTTTTGTGTGTGTCCTGCTCCCCATGTGCCTTCCCATGCCCTTATTTTTAAACACACAGGAGGAGGGGATGACGAGACACACCTGGGAGCAATGAAACATCAAGGGAAACACCTGGGACAAATGAACTTAACTAATCAGGGGAGGAACAGGAAACTAACCAAATAAGGGCATGGGAAGGCACATGGGGAGCAGGACACACACAAAACATGGAAGAGAGTCTGACATAACGCCCCCCTCCGGAAGGCGTCTCCTCACGCCTTATAACATCCAATGGACACACAAAACATGGAACAGAGTCTGACAATTGCTCTTTTAGATATTTAGCGTTCCCTCTTTTTTTTACCCCTCTTCCTTTTACACTTTTCTTCTCTCTCTTTCAATCTGTCCACACAGGGCTGCTCCTCCCCCATGGTGGTGAAGTTTGCCGACACGCAGAAGGATAAGGAACAGCGGCGGCTGCAGCAGCAGTTGGCGCAGCAGATGCAGCAGTTGAACAGCGCGTCTGCCTGGGGCAGCCTGACCGGCCTGACCGGCCTGACTGGCCTCACCCCGCAGTATCTGGCAGTAAGAGGACACACCCACGCAGCCCTGCCAACCAGCAGCACAGCCAACGCAGCCGCCGCAGTCAGTCACTGTCTCCGCCCACCTGCCCCGCCCCCTCCTCTCTTGATCTCTCTGAGCCAGTCTTAACCCTTTCCAAATCTCTCATCTGTTGAACTTCGATCGCGCCTTGATCGAAACCAGTCCCCATACTCAATCGTGAAGGGTGGTGCTGCCATTTAGAAGCTGTTAGGACAGTGGTTCTTAACCAGGGGGCCTCATTAAACGTCCAAGGGGGCCTCAAGACTTGAAATTATTTAAAATAAGACAAAACAAGCATTTAAATAAACTAATACACATGAAAATCAAGATATTCTTATTTTAATTCATACTCTCAAAAACAGTTTTTTGTTTCTTAAAATAACCAGGTTTTCCACTGTCTAGAAAAAAAGTGTGAATTTAAAAGTGTGATTTATAAACCTGGAAAAGTCATATAAATATAAAAAAATTGTATAACTCTATTGCCATATATATGTATGCATATATACATTTTCTGGTTATGCCAGGCTCTAAAATATTTTATTTGGTAGAACTTGTGATGAAAACATATTTTAAATAATCCTTATCTTTAATCCTTTTCTAGTAAATCACAAGCAGGAAAAGTCATGGGGCCTATGAATATTGTTGTGGACAATGGGGGGCCATAGGAGTCAAAAAGGATGAGAACCACTGCATTAGGGGCTACAATTGCTCCAGCTTTCTTATTACTTTCAAGAAGGTTGACAGAGAGGGGATAGTTTTTAAGCAGCCTTGGTTTCAAAAGTATTTTTCGCATTTGTTTTCTTCATTGGCATTTTTAAAATCTATAGTAAAAAGCCTAATAAGGCCATGATCCCAAACCAACCAACGCTGAGATCAGTCACCACAATTCAACATTTCATCCCATGGCATGATGCATCGCAAAGAATGTAGGCCTGATCAAATAAAAATGAAACAAATGTTTAAAAATGTAATTAATTATAATTATATAAATAATACATATAACATTAATATAGGAACATATACTAGGCTTTAACTATTATGCTAGGTCTGTCTTAAAAGGTTTATGCAATATTATTAAACATCTTTTCCTCTGTAGAGAAAATGAAAGCGATTTTTACTTCCAGAACCCGGCTTGGGTTGTGTTGTGTAATTGGATTGGGTTGAGGACAATGCATAAATTCCCTGTTTCACTCATCCCCCTCTTTATCCGCCTAAATATAAAGAGGATATAACATGGTGGTGACATTTACTTGCGTTTTAGTCAATAAGGACAGTGGGTGAGGATTTAAAGGACTATGCAAGAGCATTGGGACAGGGCCATCTCTCCCACTATTCCGCTTCTCCTTTTTCTGCCTTTTTTCACTTCCCTGTCATTTTGAGGTTACATTTAGCTTTTAAGCAGTCTGAGGAGTCTAACTCAATGTCATCCTAATCCTCTACAGTCATTTAGAGTCTGCTTTCCTCTCCCCTTTCATGTGCAGAAACTGCCCAGGACAGCAACACACTGCCAACAGAACTGACGGGTGACTCTTAGCATGACCGTTTTCACTGGCACCGATGTATGAGGCTAATACCTTGAAGTGGTCCTCAAGTCTTTTATGATTTTGTTCCTCTGAATATTTTTACATGGTTTTCACTCTCAGCAGTATGTGTTATGTAAATCGCAAATGATTGTTTTAAAAGACCACAGAGTCCACAGTTAGAGTTATTTCTTGACTAAAATATATAAACTGATTTAGCTTGATAACCTTTCTAACACAGTATTTTAATTATCCTCTCTGTGTTAAAGCCACAGAAAAATCAATAAATGTATCAATAAATCAATAAATTAAACCTTAAACTGAGTTTTTGTCCTAGCCAGTTGCATCGCAATAATGTGCCATGCCACAAGCCATTTTGTTGCGCTAAGAAGTTCTATTAACATTAGACAGCACATATGTTGTGTATTAGAAATCAAATATATTTTAATTGGCTGTGATTTTGATGGTATGAATACATTTATTACACGAAAATATTTTGTTTAATGCAAAACTAGAGCGGGCCCAATCCTAATACTTGAGGAACACCAATTGCTAAAAAACTCGAAATAACAGATAGAGGCTTTTGTGTTGCTTTACTGTTGACAGACTGCTCACTCCAGACAACATGAAACATGAAAACAAACCACAATGTTTCATCTATATTTAGCTAACACTAGCTCCTTCAAACTTTATCGTTATATATCCATCACCATAAGCCAATACATACTAGTGATTACACATTAATGGTCTGTTTCTCTCTCTTTTTCTCACAGTTACTTCAACAAGCGACCTCCTCCAGTAACCTAGGAGCGTTCAGTGGTATTCAACAAATGGCAGGTGAGATACTGAACTCAGATCTGTTAACCCAACTAGCCCCATTGTAACTCCGCAACTAAACTTCCATCACCCCTACTAAACCATTCAAACCAGCTCTGGATTGCATTTAAAAAAAAAAAAAAAAAAAAACCAGCAGATGTTCGGCTGAGCTAAACATTCTCATCCTGCCTCAGAGTTTAGATTCAACATGCTTGGCTTTATACAATGTGCAGCACACCTGGACACATTGTAATGATTGTAAGTGTATGTGTGTGTCAGAATTTGATGATGAACTGAGACTTGATTGATCACATAAAAGCCATTCTTTCCACGCCTGTTCCGATGTGCATCAAACCCTTTTTTTGTTTCTTGGAAGAGAAATTTGTCTCATCATCAAATCACTTCTCTTTGCCTGAGCTCTGTGAGGCTTATGGGATACCAAATCATGATGATATGCCCCATCAACCCTCAGATGTTCTCAGCTTTTTACATTTTCACTTTAGCAGTTCTCAAAGAAGAGGAAAAATTAAAGTACCCTTATCCAGATAGGCCACTTATCACAGTTTGTTTATGCCATGAATACTGTCAAATTCACCAGAAACCCGCAGAGAATTCAGCAACACAAGATGGATTTCTCATCGAAGCAACATTATATGTTATTCTATCTTCACGGTGACTTGGTTTGGCACTCTGGAATATGATTAGTGTTTTACAATATCTGCCAATGAGCTCATGCTTACTCCAGCTGTTAGACAGGTGCATGTTGTTCTCTCTTTGACAGTTTTTATGCCTCCAACATTATGCTAGATGCAACAAAAAATTTAAGTTCCTCTTTGCTCACTTTCCTTCTTTTTTACATTTTCAATGTTTTTTCGCTGTCTTGTGCGTTACATTCCCAGTGTGCGTCTCTGTTCTTGTCAGGTCTTAATTGTGGTCTGTTTATCAAGCTGCCAGGCCTTCAAGGAAAATGAAATATTTATAGCACGCGCTCTCGCCTAATTGCAGCTGCTAAGGATGAAAGAAAAAGAACGTATTAGCATCCAAAATGGCTTACAGTGTGTGTAGGATGAGTGACTTTATCTCCTAAAGCCTCTCCCCCCCCTGACAACAGTTTTGCACACCAGAGAGTGGCTTCCTCATTAATGTAGGCTCTTGTGGAGAGGGTGAGCAGGACTGTGGTGTTATTGTTTACCATTATGAAGAGTTCTGGAAGCTCTTGTTTAAGTTTAGTGGTACATCTGTGACAGCCTCTCAGCAAGAATGAAGTTCACATCGAGCCAAACCAGCAGCAGCTGCCACCACACAATTAAAGAGCGAGAAATTCCCACATTACCATAACAATTGAATTTTCTGGACTTCATTTTATTAAAGCAGTATATTCTCCCAAAACAGATTAGTTTAGACTTTTAATCAAACTGGTTTGGATTTGAGGGAATGAATGGAAACTGGTCAAGCATGATGGACAAAGTAGTTTGTTATTATACATACAGATTATATACAGCAATGTGTCCGTGCTGGATTAAAGGAACCCTTCAACCAGAATTTAAAATTCTGTAATTTGCTCATGTGTCGTTCCAAACCATTTTGCTGTGATACCAAACCATTACGTGTTATACGTTTACATATGGCACATAAAGACTTTTCACCAGGTTCAACCAATGACATTTGACTGTGTTGACTCTAAACTTGGTGTGACACATCTTGATTTGCCATATTCGAATTTACCTCTGCACAAATGAGCCAAACTCAACCAAACGTCTAAGTATACAGTAGTCATAGCCATGGCCTAGTGGTTGGCGTACACCAGGTGTGTCCAACCCTACTCCTGGATTACCACTATCCTGCAGAATTTAGTTGTAATCCTAATTAAACACGCCCGAACCAACTAATCAAGGTCTTCAGGATTACTAGAAACTTCGAGGTAAGTGTGTTCGGGGAGGTTGGAGCTAATCTCTGCAGGACATTTGCCCACCAGGAGCAGGTTTGGACACTCCTGGCATACAGACATGTCGAGCTGTGAAGTTCATGCAAGAGATGCAGGTTTAAATCCGATCTGCCTCATCCCTCATCAATCCCACTATACGTTTTTGTTCTACTGTCAGTTGAAGTGGAACAATGGCCAAAAATTCAAACTTAAAAAGTTCAAAGTAGACCATTGCATAAACCCAAGCCAGAAACCTGTTCAATATGACCGGATAAACATATCAGTCTGTTTGAGACACTGCTTGAAGTGCAAATCGACAGGAGCTCTCAAACTCAACAGGATTTGAAGACTTTTCTCGGCTGAATTGTGAAATCTTTGGGCCCCTCCATCTGTCGCCTGGCAACCGTCAATGATTGGCAGACGATATATACAGCTGCCATCTGCTGTGTCTGTGCTGTGGGTGGAGTTACGAGCCATAAGGAGCTCCATTACACATGATGAACATTCAGCGAGAGCCAGCATCACCTCTTTCCTGACACCTCTCTCTCCGCTCAGTACGCTGAGAGTGTGAACATACTGCATGGATGGATCTCTCTCTCTCTCTCACACACACACACTAGCAGAAGTGCCCTTCTCAACCACAGAACTCACATTGTGCCAAATACTCAATACCCATTTTTTGACACTTGTGCGCCAAAAACTCAAAATGGTTCCTTTTCCGCTTTATTCAGAATCACAAAGGTGGCCATAAAGCCCTCAATTTCAGAGTCCATCTCTGTCGTAACATCCCTCTTTGACCTCCCAAGACTGCACTTTCTCATCCAGTGAAGCTTTTTCTAGCTTCTTTTATATTAAATGCTATTCAAGGTTGAAGTCTTGAACCATGAAGTCAGAGATGACTTATTTAATTGACCTTAAACATTTCTTATTGTGAACAATTACTCAAAAGAATTACAAATTTTGGCCTTCATAATATTTCATTATAATGTAATAACTAAAACTGCTTTCATTTTTGGGTGAAATCTCAGATCCCTCTTGTTTTTCAACCCCTTCCTTCAAAGCACCTATGTTGAAACCACTTTTTGCAAGTTCTGGCCATTTATTTATTTATTTTTACTGTTGAATATTCGTTTCTTTCGGAAATGCCACATTACGGAAGTGGACTGGGTCTTGAGAGCCATTTCATGCTGATTTTAAACCTGCTATTCAAGATCTGTAAAGAATCGTCTCTCCTCTTATGTCTTGACCTGGGCTTTGTTTTGCAATTAGAGGTAGATTTCCTGTCTCTAATCACCTTCTGTGGTGTGCTAATTAGACTCTTAATGCACTTCTCTTGCTTGCTCAGTGGATCGGGAGGGCAAACAACCATGGCGTCCCTAGAGCACTGTCTGACCAATCCAAATTACACGCTACTGCTGTCTAAAGGGATAAGGCTGGAAAAAACAAAGACATTTTTTTCCAGATAGCTACGGATCCTGTATTTGAGCCTTTGCTTTCAGTCTCAGTTGACAAACATTGATGTGTACGTGATCAGGTTGTCACTTGTCCGTGAAGTCCATGATAGTTTTTAATTTTCAAATGGGTGCTCACAATCTTCTCTTATTGCACACTTTCACTGAACCAACACTTGGGATGACTACCCGACCATCGTGGGGCATTGGTCACCAAATTGTGGACTTGTAGGAGGGTTGGCAGTTGGGACAGGGCCTATAATTCTTCACCAATCCAAATACTGTAGTTCTGAAGTCTGATGTGTCACTTGTGCGTGTGTTTTTTTTCTCTGTGTGTGCGTGCTCCCTCATAGTATAGAGTATATACATTTTATGTGTATATACGACACATGCTGTGCATTTTCCTGTTGTACCACTTCCAATCTCTGTCCTTCTTGGCTGCGAGCCACTTCCCGCAGCGTGTTGGCATCATGGCCACTGCATGTAGCCGTGCCCCAAACACGCTAATCTAGAGTCACCTTTGGAGTAGATGCACCCCGGCTCACACATATAATCGGATCTTCTGTACGAAGCGCCTCTACACACGACTCTACTAACTCTTGCTCGTGTAGAGCATTCTGTAGCAAATGTGGTTCCTTTAGTTTAACATGCACCAAGCACACACATGCACACATTGACACTTTCTCTTTCTTCAGGTATGAATGCTCTGCAGTTGCAGAATCTGGCCACTCTAGCAGCAGCAGCGGCTGCAGCACAGAGCTCAGCCAGCCCGTCCACCGCTAGCGCCCTGACCTCCAGCACAGGGTCCCTGGGAGCCCTGGCCAGCCCAGGTAACCAGAGGCTGTCCCATCATCATTATCCTCTTCGATATCGGTATCATTTCCACCATAGCGTCATTGTCCCTTCATTTGTTGTAGTCGAGTTCACCAATTCGTGTTTATACAGTATGTGTGTGTTTGTGTGCGTAGTTCCTTGGTACCGTCCATCATGGTTCACGTTCATCATCATCATCACCATCATCTTGTTTGGGAGAGTGTGTCCATATGTGTGGCTTTGAGCTGTTGTGCTCCTTGGCTTTAACTGTGCTCCATTCATTTTGGAAAAGATGAAATGTGAAACAAGGAGACACTTATAAGTGTGACACATGGTTCTCCGGTTAGATTAGCATCTCTGTGTCTTGCTTTGAAGCTCGAAAATTTCTTTCAAACTTGCATAAATGCAAATGAAGCAGAGGGAAAAGCTTTTATATGCTTCAGAGTTCTTTTGTTTGAAGAGATGTTTTGCTTGAATCTTATTTCTCTTTTTTGAAAACATTGCCATCGTTATCATCTTCATGATTGCAATAATCTTTATTGTTGTTGATGTCTCTATCTTGTCTTTTTTTTCTGTAATTTTAATAGATTCCCTTTAGGAATTAATAAAGTACTATGCATGCATATATCTATCCATTTGACCATCCCATCCATCTTATCCACTTTATTAGGACTACACCATATAGCCAAAAAATAAATAATCATAATAATTTCTAGTCCTTTGATGATGTTCAGTGTCATTAAAATAGGGTGATTCTTTTTTTAAATCATAAAAATCGCTGTAGTAAAGTAAATTCTAAATGCTGAATAAATACTGAATGCAAAAGAAAAAAATACATTAAAATAATTTATAATCAATGCATGATTTTCCACACTTCCCACAAGGAAGAATCACATTTATTTTCATTTGCATGTACCAGCCTGTAACTATACACAGTAATAAACAGGATATTTACTTATTATATATACAAATAAATTAATTAAGACATGTAATACATTAATAAAACTGAATCACAAGTTTTGATTCGATTCATTGTCTGGCTTTAACCGTGCTCCATTCATAGTCACCACTGATAAGCTACTCCTAAATATAATGTAGAAACTTTAATTTTGCTTTGCAATGATTTGTATCGTGAAAAGCGCTATACAAATAAAAGTGAATTGAATTGAATACTGTTTGAACTGATTCATAGAAATGAACTTACCAACTTGAATAGCATTTATTCTAAAGTTTAAATCAGGCGCACTATTAAAAAATCTGTCTTGATGCGCAAGTTACAGGACAGGAAGGATTTAAAAATCAGTCTAATGATTCCCTATTTAGAAAACTTAATGGCCTAATAAATTGCGCTATACAATCATTGCGATATTCACAACATTGCTTAATGTTACATTGCCATCAAAGCCACCCAACCCTACCATCTATCAGTGAATCAATCTTCCATTCATGCATTCTTCCCTCTGTGTACCTCCACCAAAGCTTTTATATATGTATCTTTAACCATTTCAGTATCATCTGCGAATGTATGTGTACGTTCAAACATCTCTCTTTTTCTCTCTTCCAATCTCCACCTGTCTCTCCTTCCTGCTCTGTCTGTCTTTCCTCACAGCAGTAGCATTTATTCTAAAGTTTAAACCAGGCGCACTATTAAAAAATCTGTCTTGATGCGCAAGTTACAGGACAGGAAGGATTTCAAAATCAGTCTAATGATTCCCTATTTAGAAAACTTAATGGCCTAATAAATTGCGCTATACAATCATTGCGATATTCACAACATTGCTTAATGTTACATTGCCATCAAAGCCACCCAACCCTACCATCTATCAGTGAATCAATCTTCCATTCATGCATTCTTCCCTCTGTGTACCTCCACCAAAGCTTTTATATATGTATCTTTAACCATTTCAGTATCATCTGCGAATGTATGTGTACGTTCAAACATCTCTCTTTTTCTCTCTTCCAATCTCCACCTGTCTCTCCTTCCTGCTCTGTCTGTCTTTCCTCACAGCAGGTTCCACAGCTAACTCCAGTGTGGGTGCGATGGGTTCCCTGGGTTCTCTGGGGACACTGCAGGGTTTGGCCGGGGCCACCGTTGGCCTCAATAACATAAATGCACTAGCAGGTAGCATCAACAGTGAGTACTACCGTCCATCGGCCTCTCCATCCCAATCCATACAACATCACCTCATACCAGCCACCCACTGCTCATAGAGATGCCTATCTCACAGAGATAGCAAATGCTTTTTAATAGATTCACTCTAAACTCTCTAAACTTGCACTGGCTAAAGCAAGGGCATCTCTCTGGGCTTACGCAAGAGTTTGTTGGGTGAATTTCTCACATTGAGTCCTGCTGATATATTAAAATTAGGTGTGTGTGATTTGTAAAAGGCCTCATTATTGAATCAAATCAGATCAGATCAAATCCATTTGCTAAGTCAGAACAAATGTAGCCCATCCCTTGTAGTCGTGAGTGTGTTTGCACCAATCGGACACATCTCTCCATACATTCAGACATGCTAACACACCGCTAAACCATTGCTCTGGGTGTTTCTATAGACATGCACTTGTTTTGTCGCTATCGTGTGTGTGTGTTGTGTATATGTGTCTTTTTTATTTGGGGTTTGAATGATTTTAGACTAGACTATGGTTCTCAATTCCAGTCCTCGCGACCCCCCTCGCTGCACATTTTGTATGTATCTCGTATCACTTCAGACATTTGTTCTATTCGACCGTAAGTGCCCTGCGAAGTGGACATCACAGGATATTCCGCCATGATTCAAAAATGGATGTTCTACAGAAGACAAAAGTCATACAGGTGTAGAAGTGCATGAGGGTGAGTAAATGATGACAAAATAGTGATTTTTAAGGGATAGTTTAGCCAAAAAATTGAAATTTTGTCACTGTTTAATCACCCTCATGGCATTCTAAACCCATAAGACTTTTGTTTGAAACACAAATTTATTTTTAATAGTGCTGTCAAACGATTAATCGTGATTAATCACATCCGAAATAAAAGTATTTGTTTACTAGGGCTGTGTATCACCAGCAAAGTCACGATACGATACATATCACGATACGGGACTGCACTGAATTTCACCTCAGAAGAATTTTGTAAAACAGCTGTTTATTAAACACTGCATACTATAGGGCTGTTGCTAACTATTGGCAGAGCAGGCAGTTGACCTCTGCATTATGAAGGGCCTCCATAACTGTACCACAGTACAATATAGAAAATATATACTGTATGTGTCTGTATTTATATAGACATAATAAATATGCACTGTACACACACATATATTATGTAAACAAAAACTTTTATTTTGGATGCGATTAATCACGATTAATCGTTTGACAGCACTCATTTTTAATGAAACCTGGGAGATTTCTTTCTTCATAAGCAACTTAAAAGTAATCCATAAGAGTTTAATCCAAGTATTTTGAAGAAACAAGAAAATTTTATTTAGATTTATTTAGGCTTTTATTCACAAATAAACATTCAAATATTAATGTCACATAAAAATCACACATCAAATATGGTAAACAGAAGCTCAGCCATATTTGTTTAACAAGCAAAAACAAACCTCACTGGCCTCAAGAATGTTTGAGCTTCCTTTTACCATATTTGATATGATATGGATTTCTTGAGTTGTGGTGGAATGGACTTTCAATGGAAAGACAGAAATCTCTCAGTTTTTTTTTTTTTTTTTTAAGAAACAAAAGTCTAATGAGTTTGAAACTACCGTCCCTCAAGCAAAAACAAACCTCACTGGCCTCAAGAATGTTTGAGCTTCCTTTTACCATATTTGATATGATATGGATTTCTTGAGTTGTGGTGGAATGGACTTTCAATGGAAAGACAGAAATCTCTCAGTTTTTTTTTTTTTTTTAAGAAACAAAAGTCTAATGAGTTTGAAACTACAGTCCCTTAGGGTTAATAGTTGTCTTCTGTGGGTGTTGTGATCTACACCAGAAGCTGGTAAACAGATGCTTCGCATCATAGCTGTTACCACATTGTGTATTTTAAGCACGACTGGAACACTGTATTGACAAATCAGCATTCAAAACCAAAACTACTCATTTTACAATAGAATGTACCTAATGGGCGTTGTGGAATGTAATTAGTATAAATAGGCGAGCTAAAGATCACTGCAGCCTGTGTATATGTCAGCACGTGGACAAAATCTCTATCTCCACCAGTGACCTTTCAGCCAGGTTTCTAGTTTTATAAATCAAGCTCTCTCAAACAGAACGCCTACAATTTAAATTAATTCTAATGACTCTCTCACACACACCCTCCCAGTGCTCATTTAAGAGGCTGTATAGTGTAATTGAATATAAAAGGTCAGTATTGTAATTATTGCTGGATAAATGAGGGAGCTGGCCGTCCAAGCACTTTGCTCATCATTTATTGTTTCCAGGCCATCAAGCCAAAAGGCCAGTCAGTAAATACTCATGAATCAGTCTTTATAAACACACACACACACACACACAAAGACGTAAAAAAATATTGTGTACACAGTACGTGAACACAACTGCTTCTACGGTAGCACGATTTGATGTGTTGTTTTACATTATGAATATGCGTTGCCACAAGGGATTCTCTAGTTTAAGTGTCTTTTTCTCAGTCCTTTTTTTCTGCCATAGCTAGAAAAAATATTTATTTTATTACTCTATACTGTAATAATGTATCTGATGCATTATATAGACCACAATTTGCACAAGGTCAGTTTTTGAACAAGATGTGGAACATCCAGTTAATCGGTTAATTTAAGAAATTATTGACGGATTATTTGATAATCAAACTGATAAACTAATATCCATTTAATGACTCTATCACCCCTTCTTAAGTACTGAGATGTGTTACCACTAAAAGTAAAGGCCGTGTATATGAAATAAATAATGATTATATTTAAAGAAATCAATTATAATTATGTAATTAATAATTATATTCAGCAGGGATGTATTAAATTGATAAAAAAAAAGACAATTTCAGTGTTACAAATAAATTATGCTATGAGCTTTCTCTTCATCAAAGAATCCAGAAAAAAATCTTGGTTTGATTATAAGAAGTCTTTCTTGAGCACAAAATTGGCATAATAGAATAAGTTCTTAAGTAACAGCTGCTGAAATTTCTGCTTTTACATCAAAGGAAAAATGACATTTTACAATAAATTAAAATAGAAAACAGTTTCAAATTGTAATATTTCACAGTATTACTGTTACTATACTATATTTTACCTTTGTAAACAAAAGAAACTTTTTCAAAACCTTTTAAACCTTAATCTTAACAAACCCAGACCTTTGAACAGTAATGTGTGTGTGTGTGTACATATCTATTCCCATAGATTGGAGTTACATGGGTTACACCCTGAAGCACATGTGCATCTGTTTTAGCAGTCAGGGGTTCTGTCTTTAATGGATCCAAGGATGCATTTGTATTTTATTAAAAGAGTTTAATGTTTTCCCCACAACCCCTTTAATACAGCCGAGATTGCTGACACGAATAATGAGATAATTAGATGTAGATTTCCGCTGTGTGAGGTTAAAAAGGTGATTGGTCCGATGTTTCGGTGTGTCTGAGGGTCGCCGTGGTGATCGTTTCGTGCTGCTATTGTGACATTAGTCTGCATGTGTAGGCCGCGCTCCTCATTTGCATACACCGGTCAGTAAATTATGCATCTTTTCTATCTTGTGTTTGTGTGTATATGTGTGTGAGTGGGTGCTGTTTATGATGTAATGTCCAGCGTGATGTTTGTGATTCTGCTGTTTCGATGAGTGTTACGTTCACTGTCTTTCTGTTCGAGTGTCTCATTAGGTTTTTTTGTGTTTTGTCTGTTTTTGTGTGTGTCGTGTTGTGCTTTGTTGTAGAAACACACCCTGAGTCCAAATGCTAACGAGTAAGAGCACTTCTTTTTTCTTTATTGTTGGGTTTTATGTAAAGTTGCTCACATGCTCTCAGGTATGGCAGCTCTGAACGGCGGGCTGGGCAGCACGGGCCTGAGTAACGGGTCGGCCGGGCCCATGGACGCTCTCACACAGGCCTACTCAGGGATCCAACAGTACGCGGCTGCCGCCCTGCCCACTCTCTACAGCCAGTCCCTACTGCAGCAACAGAGTGCTGCGGGCAGCCAGAAAGAGGGTATGGGAACACACACTGGAAATTGCTTACACTGGAAGTGTAAAGTGAAATCTAGTTCAACTTCATTTAAGTAACACAGCAAATATGGAAGTACATCAATGACAAAAGTTGAAAAAAAAAAAAAAAAAGGTTTGAATTTTTTAGGCTACAATGTAACTATATATATATATACATATATAAGCTCGATACCATAGAGCCCCCCTCCCACATAAAAAACCCCAATTTAACCCCTGTAATATCGATAGATAGATAGATAGATAGATAGATAGATAGATAGATAACAGACCAATTTGAGCAAGTGCTTCGGTATGAACTGACATTCAATCACTCATGGGAAAGGCAACACAGAATTTGCCAGTAACAGTTATTCACTTAAGGCCTACAGTACATAGGCGTATTTAATTTGACCTTAAACTAGTTATCAGAATACAACAAAATAAAATGACAGCTTTTTTTGTTAATAATAAATAATAATGATTATTTTGACATCATATTAATGCCATTATATTGTTGTTTTGCAAAATTGATATTCAATTGTGTTTATGAACCCTTTAACGCTTAGTATGTTATACTGTTTTTCATTTTTTTTCTATATTTAATTATATGTTGTATTTCATGCTGTCATTTAGTTTTATTGGACATGGCATGAGCAGTTGTTTTGCTGTCAAACATGACTTGATTACAATCGAAAGACATTGTGATTGTTCCTTGCAGGTTTCGTCAGTTATGACAATCCTGTGTCAGCGCAGGCCGCCATTCAGGCGATGAACGGGTTTCAGATCGGCATGAAGCGTCTCAAAGTCCAGCTCAAGCGCTCGAAGAACGACAGCAAACCGTACTGATCTTAGCACTAGGGCCTCTCTCATGTTACACTGCTAGGGTAAGTCCCCACTGCTGCCACGGTTACCAAACTGGGGGGAGGGGGTGCACGTGGGGGAGTTTCACCCTTTGACCACCAGAGGGAGCCACTCTCCCATAACCGTCTTTTCAGCTTTTTGAATTAATAACAGTATTATTATTTTGTCTTTTTTTTTTTTTTTTTTTTTCACATG